CCACAACTTTGCATAAACAAATGTTCACACTTAGTAGCGCATAGGTGATTCGGAATGTTACGCAGCATAAAATGATGCTTATGTTTCATCCTCTCTTCAGTTTCAGAGCTTATTACTCCAAAAACTCCAAGCGCTTGTTCAATAACTTTGTCGGAAGTACTGTTTATATCGCCATTTATTAACTGACATTGTATTGTGCCGAATGATGTTCGGTTACGACTATCAGAGACCTAGTCTTAAGCAACTAAAGACGCAACAGTTTTATGTGGACTAATGAGATTTTTGAGTAAGCCGTATATACAGAAGGCTGCAAACACAAACTGGAACCCTTTGTGTCCACGGTTACGATTCTAGCACTCAGAGATTGTTCGGAGGCCGCGAGCTCACGTCTTTTAGCAAGTCTTAATTGGTGCATCAGAATATACAAGACGAGTTTTTCGTTGCGGCAAAGGAATTAAGACGTTGCTAACATGCATCAGCACGCAAGGAACAAAAAGCCTACTGTTAATTTACTACAGTAACTAGAAAAAGATGGCCTGGCACGACATCAATCAGCAGGCATTTTGCAAAGTACATCGAATTTACCTGAGTGTCTTGAAGGGCAAAGGGAACTTATACGCGGAAATAAAAACTGCCTTTTAAGAAGAGTTCAAACGCAGATGATCAGTAATCGTCTAGGAATATCGAAGCATGTGCAAAGCTTCGCTTATAATTGACATTGAAATTCGCGCCTTAAGCATAAGTGAGAGTTCACCGGTTTTAGTCCCAAAATTTCCGAATAATTTTTTAGCAAAATGCATGTGTCACTGAGAGCATTTTAGTAGCATATTTATTGGATGCCGACTTTTGTGCGTATCGTTTTCAATGGGGTCATAAATGCTGCTGCTTATTACCCTTAAATATACTGAACTGTACTAATATGTTGATTGGTGCTTGTTTACTACTCGAACTATGTACGAAAAGAAACTAAGAAGAGAACCTAATAATCAAAATAAACGGGCTTTGTGGTGATTTTCCACAGGAGACGGAATTCAGAGAGACACGGCGACGACGAAAAATGCTCACTGTACAAAGAACGACGGCCTTGTTTGGGGATGGTTAGAGGTACGTCTTAGTGCATATATATACCTGCTCCGTACGTCGCGTCGGACACATATTTGAATCTGCCGGCGCGATATGTTGGGGATACGTTCTGCAGATGAAGATAAACAAACCTGAATTAGAAATATTCGCATGCTTTATTATATTTATTATTTTTTACAACACGAATCCAGAACCCCTCATATACTAAGGTGTAGTTGAGTCCAACGCTGCACCCCCAACCGGTAATCTAACAGGTACGACGAAATTTTCTCCATCCCAGGTGGGATTTTTCACATGCTAAACTAAAAATTGTATACTAGACCTTTATTACTGTTATACGCTTATTGGTATGGTATACTTTTCCTACATTATGATAACTTGTTCTAATATTTTCTGGATTTTATGTTTGGCGAAATTTTTTTCAATTCTGCTCAGTATTCAGGCGGACTGAGAAACGACTGCATGTGCTTACTTACTTGTGTGAACGTTAACCCCAAGGTCTTCGGACGTGAAATAGAGTACAAGGACGGAGCTTTGTTGGTGTGAGTTGAGACCGGACATACAATCGAGCTTCAGCCGTAAGGGGGACAGGGCTCGGTGCTTCTGTTGAGGCTTCAGATTTCTGTCTGGGAAATCATTCCGTAACGCTCATAATTAAACTACTACAAACAGTTCTGTCTTGGCTTCACATACTTTTATACTCATAGTTATTGCTGTACGATGTAGGCACAGTGGGATTAAGTTATGGGACCGAGGCGTTTTAAAAGGACAAAGGAAAACCAGGGCGATCGCAGGAAGAATAAGGACGGCTTGACTTCTCATCTCACAAACCAAGGGTTCGCGGATGTTACACCCGGTCAACTTGAGGTCATACGCGCAGAAATACATTTCCACCGCAGGTTTGAAAATGGGAATTTAAAGAGTAAAAGACGGAAAGCGTTTTGTCGATCAACATATAGCTTCTTACACCCGTCTCAATGTAAGTTTGTGAGGATTAGTTCAAAAGTCAATTAGTTCTTATCATTGTAACGCCAATCGAATTTAAGAAAAATTTTATTATTATTATTAATAAATATATTCATTAAAATATCCCGTACCGTTGCCGATTTCCTGTGAAATTTTAGCCTCTTTTACGTTATGCTCCGCTAAATAGAAAAAAACAAAAAGTGAATTGTCTTGTGAATGGAGCATAAATCTTTTTAGGGCATGTTTATTAATTACAACGAACTGGAAACTAAGCAGAGAGGATTGTACCAGCTTCCAGCTTGCGCACACGAAAGGAGTAACTATCAGTTCACCATCAATGCAGTTCTGCGAAAAAATTACGGATCACCCCAAGAAAAGTTCATATTTTTTCATATTCACATGGGCTAGTCCGGATAATACTAACAAACCTCCTAGCATAAATGGATTGGTAGAGTTTGTCGCGGCCACGGCAAACTGGGGAATCAATCGTATGCATTGATTAATTGTTTAAACAGTATCATAAAATCATCGGGGAATCTTCTCACCAACCTGTTTGCCTATGGAAATACTTTCTCCTTGAAAAGACATGTAATGTTCTAAGAGGTCTAAGGTATAAGAGATTCTATGTTTGCATAGAAGTGGCGCATAAAGAGCTTCCATGATGGATGCAAATCAAGCAGATATTTGCATTATCTAAGGTAACATATTTATCCATCGATTCATAAACAGCCAGTAAGGGTAATTCAACGTAGTCAAAGAATTTACGTTAATGTGTAAAAGGTACAGTTCTATGCAGAGCCAAATCTTTACAAATATTATCAAAACGCACTAAAATAGATGTACGATCCTATGAGTTACCGGGAGCACTCTGCACACAAATTCCACTTTCAGGTGAGTTTTGCAAAGCCTTATTATAGGACAGGACAATAGTTATAAAGATGAGAATGGCCTTGTCATGGGCATTACACGTACACACAGGCAATTGGCTCAAAAAGCCCCATCGAGAGTAAATTAACAAGAAAATGACTAAAAGGATATTGAAGAGTAAACCTTCGTGATTGTCGAATAGCTCACTATATTCTTAAGTCTTCGTTTAGGCGTTTAATTACTTGCTAAGAGCCACTTGGCGAATTTTCAAAAGTATTTCACAGAAATCGTGTAATTTTAAACCGAAAAGCATGTGGCCTGTTGTCGTTTGTTGAAAATTAAATCAAGCTTATCCGATCGATGATTATGAACGCTGGTCATCACTAAAGCTCTGTAGGCATAGTATGTGTCCACATCTGTTACTTTGTCCTAAGGAACCTATTGGTCGAGCACTTTTTAAAGCTGAACATAAGCTCGACATGCGAAACACAAACAGTCTCGTCATTTTTATGGTGGATCTAATGGTTTTGTGCTAGGTTAACAAAGCACAAAAGTTTGTATTTTATCAAACATTTCACACTTTTCCCAAAAAGACATATTTGTCTTAAAATTATTTTTGAATGCCTACCACGCATTTTCTTCTTAAATTAAAATACATTTAAATGCGCATTTTAAAGTCCTTCATTTTCAACTGCTGTCTAAGAGCCATACGAAACCGATCGCCTTTTCGCAATTCTTCTCTATAATGTTTATTTGTTCGTTTGCGGAAGAGTCCTTAAAGTTATGTGGATTCCTTCGACACTCAATGTCTTACTTAACCGTCTTTGACGTGAATGTTTGGCCTCCCACCAACAGTTCTAAGACCTTTTAAT